TGTGACGAGCACTTAATATGTTAAGTTATTTTGGTCAGTCAGTTATTTTGGTTCGTCAGACTGATCAACAATACTTGACACTTGATTTGCGCTCCAGGTGTCCTCATTGGGTTTGAGAAGCAACCTCTCCAGTCAGTCTACTGGAAACGGCCCACGGAGAACAATCTTGATTTAATGGGTGAGTCACGGCCATCAAAGCTTCATCAGCTAGCTGAGGTGCTCAAGCACACTACACACCACGCTACTCCAGTCCAACCGGTTTTTAAATTGAAACAAACTTATATCATCGCATCATCAGGCATAGTTTAGTGTAATGCCTTCTTGATGATATTTTCTGCATAAAAAAGACATGAAAGAACCGGCTTTTCATATCGGCACCCGAAACCTCGTTCTTCTCACCGATCAGCAGGTACAACTCATTGGAAATCGATCGGTTCCACCTCCACGCTCGTTTTGATTTAACCATCCATCCTTAGTCACGTGACTGTGGACTCTGTATGTTGTTGAATGACATACAAAACAGGAGCTTGCGATGCTCACTTGAGCAAACAAACTTCAGGATACACACATACATACATACTTGAACAGAGTGATACTGTGAACGTCAATCAACCAGCAGAGTCTAGAAACAGTTTATCTTGTGGCACTTTTGAATCTAAGTTTGTCTTCTTGCTTAGCTCTTTTTGTCAGCATCCGCGTAGATGGAAGTCATTTTGACAGATTCGGGTAAGTCTGCTCAAGTGAGCTTAACAGAGCTAAAAACTATCGATCCTTGTTCAATTCAAGGTCAGGGAAACACGACGCCTGACTTCTGGCCCCTTTGAAGCTGTTCAGTCCATGCGGACACCGATCAATACTGCCCGATAAAGTCGAAGAAACTAAAACCAACTCCTCGACTGTGCTCCTACTGGCTGCGCTTGATTACTGAACGTTACCATCAAAAAGGGTGTTTATTTCAGGTAGTAAACGCTGTATTTTGATGCAGACGAAGGTCGATTCACTATGCCCAGCCCATTTCGGGATGTGAAGTGGATGAAGATAGCCCTGATTGCTTTTTACTTATCCAAGTCATCTGAATCAACGCAAGATTCGAACACAGTAGGATTTTAGCTACCGATTGAGTGTTCAGGTGCTTCATCCGTCATTGGTGATCGATTTAGTCCTTAAATACTCGTCAAATACTTGTCAAATACTTCTCAATACTTGTCAACACTTGTTAAGTACTTGTCAATACAAGTCGCGGGTTCGAACCCAACGAAGTATGAAACGAGGTCATTCGTGAATGAGTAATCTGCGAACAAAGTTTAATCAACGGAAAGAGAGAATGCTCAACATATAAAGGAGTAACTGGGCGATGAAATTAAAGGATTGATTTTACACTAATCGATTGTAATGATTTTATAGTAAATCAACTTTAACACAAAATTTCCGGAAAGTTGAGCAAACACAATGAACAACATGGCTGAAAATTGTAGAAAGTTGAAGCGATTTAAAGTAGAGTGATCTTTTGAAGATAAAACAAATTCCAACATTTCGACTGCAAGCTGTTTGACCACACTTCTCAAAATTTTTTGATTACTCTCGTACAAGTAAATAAGATGCTATTTTGGTCACCTTGTTAGTGCTTATGTGGACTCGAGTCCCAATCAATATGTTTGTCTGACCCACTGTAAATGTTATTCGAAATTTTGACAAAAGCCAACTGGTGATCCACTTGGGGTATCAAGAAATGGAACAATTGCCTACACGAACCAGTGGCGAACATCTGTGATGACAGACGTGCGTTCGCACATCGTACACCTGGTTCTGTTTACAGTCACTCAAACCCGGGGCGAGATAGCCCAAGTGATTAGAGCGCGAATTTACTGACCGGAAAGTCCGTGGTTCGAACACGACCTCTGCCTCTCGACTTCCCCTGCCTAGGCTTGGGTGACCTGTCTGTATCCCAGCCCTCGTGCAACCTTCGGGTGGCATGGCAGTTTGGCATCGAAACGGTACTGTAGCTAATAAACTCAAATGCTGGCCGGCTTCCCCAACCATTAGAGTACATTTTGACGTCGCACATGCAGACGGCAAGCAAAGAAGAAGACCGGGTCTCTCGAAAGAACCAAATTAGTTTGCAGATGAGTGTATATTCGCTAAGAAGCAAGATTCCTGTCAGTTCTCCGTTTATTCAAAAAATTGGATGTAGTTTCCTTGGATATCGTCGTCCAGAGCTACGCAACACTTCATCTGGAGTCACAATCATTGACTAAACGAGTTTGTATGGTTTATCAGCGTCTCATCTCTGGATATGAAGCCCAGAAAGAACGTCTTGACCGTAAAGCACACGTGTAATTTCATCATCGGAAGTGACGAGGACGTCAGACTTGCTTATGAGACCTACAGGCCTGAATATCTGTTAAAATTGTGACCCGCTTTTCACTTTTGTGTTAATTTTGTGCTCTGATAACGAATTAGCCGAGGATACACCGCCATTCTATTGTTTGCCCGATGCGCTAGATTCAAACAAGGCGCCAGTGTGAGTGCGTGTTTTAAACAAACAACTTGTTACGGGCTCGATAGAGTCTGAAAATAGGATGACGTAGGGAGCGACTAAACGTCGAGCGCCTTTTCATCAAGTTGCAACATGACCCCAGAAGGATGTTCCCTTGTCAAACTGAACTGTTCGTGTGCGAAACTACACTTGCCGTCCAAAGTATACCAAACTGTAAGTCTGATCACTCAAGACCAAGTTTCTAGTCTACTGGTTTTGAAGATCTCAGACGGTTTGATTTGTTTCTCCGTTTATTTTATGTTTGCTACAAAGCATTCAGCATCCTGATCCTATTGACCGCTGTTGGGCATCTCATCTCATGCAGACCAGTTGCCTTTGGTATGCCCTTCTACATTTGCCGATCGGTATACTTCCTGTCACCAGAGATTTACGTCGATTTTCATACTACTGGAACCCTCTCAGATACATTTTTCTGCTCAACCCAAGCTTATTGTAGAGAAAATTATGGCTTTCCGGGTATGGATCAATACACTCCAACAGGATCCTCAATTTACGACACAAAAAGCTTAACGAAAATACCTCCAAAGGCTCGAAACTCAGTACCAGGTTCATTGTGACTCGGTGACCAAAGGGTCTACAGCTAAAAGCGTAGTGAAATGTTAGGATAAATCGATGAAATAAGAGGTACGTGTTCTAATTAGTCAGCAGATGAAAAACGGTGGTATCTCATTAGAAGAACCTCTAATTAAATCATTAATCATCCACCTGCTAACAACGTGTCATTGCACTGCAGGCTGTACTGATTTAGCAGTTTTGAGAGTGTGGTACACTAAGCAACAGTGGACCTTTTCAAAGATGAACTAAATGTTTTAGGTAACTAAATCCCTTGAAGCTTCCCATCAACCCTTTCGCTAACATTTGTTTTTTTCCCGCAGTACTAGACACACAGATGGCCGTAAAACTGTTTAAGACGTGTTTAAAGATACGAGACACCAGGATTTGAACCATTCGAAACAAACCGATCTTTTGATTTCAGAAATTTCCGCTATTGAGCGCCCTCCCTCTTTCTCAGACCAGGTGTCCTCACAGAGGAATCTAAGGACCGATTAGTGGCTGATTATGAAAACTGGTTTCAAACTGGGAACACCTACAGGTATTCGGTTGCATCCACAAAACTGTACATGCGAAACCTATATGAATGTAATTTTCCGAAATTCCCGCAGCCATTTACAACTGGACCTAATCAATAACTCGAGTTCACATCACTCCTGTTTGAACTGTCATCCTCCTGTCTTGACTCAGTCATTCTGGTGAATCCACACCAAAGTGGGGGAAACACCAAACTCGAATTTCGCTTTGATTAGACACGTGACATGCGAGGCGAGCGTCCTTGTACAAATCCACTGGCATACACAGGATGCACGTGAATCGTCACGTCTGAACAGGCAATGGTGTTCGCCCTTGGGCGACGTGATTGGTTCGCCCCAAGATCAATTTTTGGTGTGAACCCACCTGTATAATTGCGCCAAAATAGTACAAGGACTGTTTGAACGGATGAAAAGGCAAATCCGTCAACAACCTACAACTAATCAAACATTGTCTGTCTGTTTCCAAGCTTCCAAGGCGTCACCTGGCTAGGAAGTCTTAATAGCTGCATCAATCGTTCGACGCAAACGGAGCAGTTGCTGGGTCGTTGTCCGGGTAGCCGGACAAACCAATCGTAATCATTGAAGCGGAACCCGTCCACCTGCCCTAACGTGATTATTTCGACGCTTCCAAAGGAATGGTCATCCGAAGTACAGCTTCCGGAATGGCCAAGGATATGCACTGATGAACTCTAAAAAGAGAGAAGTTCCAGTTCACAGCTTCCCCCTATTCTGGCGTGGACTCATCACAATGATTGTGCCAGGGCAGGAGAAAGACTGTTCAAACAGGAGTTCGGGCATGCCTTTCCGTGCAGACATCCCAACCGACACATTCTATGTCACGCATGGTTTACTGTCCCACAGTTGTCATGAGCTCATACCCCGTTTCCGACCCAGAGAACATCCGCATATAGGAATGAACGGATTCATTTTTTTCCACAAATTGACAGGCCCGGTCAGTTAGGCATGCAGAATCGGGCGCCATCAAGGCTACATCGATTCTCTCTGCATACGGCCGCCGTCATTTTAGACTGATAACAAGCTAACAGTGATCGTGACTCGCTTCAACACCTAATGCACTCGGATGGCTACATTGGAACATTGCCCCTAATCGTGAGGATGGCGGTTGCCACGACTAGTTACTGCCTTGAACAACCGTCACTTTGAAAAGGTATCACCATGTTCTGTATTTTTCAAGGTCAAATTTCCGATAAATTTGTACTGCAGTACTGTAAGAGCATGAATCTTTCGATACAATCGTGCAGTATCTTCCAAACACCAGTGTACTCTACTTCATACGGAATGGGTCTCGTTTGATGAACCTCCCTAGCTAGTAATTATCCTCCTTCAAAAAAATGGAATGTGATATCGAATGATGTGACAAAGATCAATATTATGAGAGACCAACCAATCGAAGGATGCAACCAATGGGTTGCATGAACTGGAGTAGTGTTCCGGAAAAGAAAACGGTCTGAGAACTGGTGTTCCTTACTTAGCAAAGTTGTTTTGCGGTACACAGGCACATCAACTTGCCACCGGATGTATGAACTTCAGTGGTAAATGTTCACGCTTGCTTCTTTATACACTGGATGTAATATTAGCAGAAGAATATCGTAGAAACATGAACAAAATCACAAGAGCAAAACCGGTGGTTTTATTTTCCAAAGTTTTCATGGAACTTGTGAGTAGTATAGAAACGCACTTTGATCCCACGTACACTATCTCAAATGCAACAATGGGCGGCTATGTAGAGCAACATACAGGACTGTCGTAAGAGAGGACTTGCCGACAAACCCCAAGAAAGGTGAAACCTTGTCTTGTCAGAAAGCCTGTTGCTCTAAAACAAGTGCACCGGCGCATGCTAGTCCCCCCGAGATGTAGGACGCCCAAACGTTGAAGCCCATTTTCGAAGAAGGTAAAAACGGGCTTTGCGAGAAGAAAACGTTTACGAGCGACCATCTTTCTTTGAAAATCTATCAGCATCAAACTTCTACCGGTTGGAGTGAAATACGCGATTTTGGAATATTCAATCAAACCCTGTCCTCAAAGCGAAGTCAGTCTGTGTTGAAATGCCGAGAAACAATGTACAGCTGTCCAATCCTTATTTAGAATAATCGGTAGTACAAATCTGACGAAACAACGGGGGATTCCAGCTCGTGACATTCCCGTACCAACTTCGACTCCACTTACAAGCAGTTGCACAGGAAATGGAACACCTCATATGCACGTTGTTCTTAAAAATGAACTTTCTTGGATATTCATTGACTGTTACACAATTGTAAACGAACACTGCAAAGCAATTCCACAAGTTCCATAACAAACTTCACTTTCTATTAGACGCAGTGTAGAGCTTCGATATGACCGCAGACTACTAGCATGCCTCATCAGTAGTATACGCCTTTACACTGGTAGCGCGACAAACTCGCATTTAGACAAGATATACCGTCACTGATTCTTCAACCTTGCGGTTCACATAACTCGGTCAAATGTTGGGTGGATCCTCCAGAGAGGGTATTCCTACAGAAACTGCTCATTCGACTTCTGAGCTAATTACTTGTGATTTGAAAGTAGTCTGTTCAATAACTTCGTAAATGAGTGACGAGCAAAAGCTCGCTGCGGACCCTTTCCACGCCCCACCCGATCATTCGAGATCAATCTGCTTCCGTGATAAGCAGCTGTCTGTTAGGCATTCACTTTGAGCAACGTTATCTAGTAACGGCCTAGCACTGAATCAGATTTTGCGGAACAGTTCTCACCCCCGGATACTACTAAATGGAAAATCGGCGTTACTGACAAACACAGGCTACAAAATATCAGAAGAGAAGCTAAAAACCTCATTGGCACACATATCTTGGAGAAATCAACATCCTCGACTGTCTTTCCGAGTTATCTGAACAGACTACAATAATGAACAAAGCATTATAAAACGGCTCAAAAATGTTCACATCATGCTTTCATCAAATTCGGGGACGGCGCTTGACGGAACCTGATCACATACTACTCGCCCCCTTCATCAGTAGTATTCCTCATTACCCTGGTAATCCGCTCTACTGTCGCAGATGAATACGACCACCTCAAGGACTTCCAAAATGTTTTTTTCACTCTAATTGCCTTTTTTGAATTGGTATGGTTAACCTAAAATAGCCATCGTTATGATCAACATTGGCGTGTGCATAGCAACCAGTAAGTTGTTTCGCTTGTCTTTATTCTCAATTTTTTTCACAAAGGAATGTGGAGGTGATAAAATTAAACCAACCGGTCGATCGGTATAGGTTTGTAAGCATGTTGTATTGATAAAAAATAGCGCTTGAATCACATAGTGCTCAAATACTGCCCGATCTTGTGGAATGCGATAAATTTCTCATCTTTGTGAATGCCGTCAGGCCAGAAACGTGGAAAACCTAATTTGTGTGGCATGATCGGGAACCACAGGTGGTGGTAGGCAGTAAAAATTAGCTCACACCTCACGTTTATTTTCGACTGTTTTGGGACATGTCTGAGACTAAGTAAGAGCAACAACGTAACTGGTAAATGAATAGGGCTATATTCTGTCCAAGTGCGAGTTAAACGCCGTGCTAATCTAAGGGATTAAACACGTTTGAATGGTCATATA